AAAAGGGAAAACCGAGACCCTACCGACGTGGGGTCCTCCAGTGCAGCAGCTTCACCGTTCCTCTCTTACGGTCAGGGTTCCTCTTCAGCTAACTTGTATAAGAAAGAGACGAGGAACATGATAGTAAAAAAATTGAGAGAAACGGAAAACAGGAAGGGGCTCATCGGAGGGGTTGTTGGGTTGCGACCGCGGGGACTCGATCGAGCTCTACTAGCATTTTTCGGTGCACCTGTTGGCCTTTTGGCTCCAATATGGATGGGGGGAGGTTCAGAATTGAATTCCGAGAGGAAGGGGGAAACATTTTACCTCTTTGGCATCGGTGATAGCTCCGGTGCGGCAGCGACGATGTCCCTCCGACAGCTGAGCTTTCCTCCAGTCACCCTTATTCTTCTTCTCCGGTCAGGGGTGTCGGTTAGGATTTTGGGAGCCGACTCAAGAGATGTTTAAATACCTCTCTTCTCCTAATCCTGGCTGTCCATTTGCGTCGACGTAAAGGAAGGAGAATCGTCCAATTTGAAGCCTGTTTAGGCCGATCCGTGTGCAAATCTTGGTCCTCCATCACGATCAAATCCAACTATCCGATCGCGTCTGAAGAGGAAACGAATTTGGACTGTCCGTGCGCGCGGGATGCGATGTGGGCCGTTGGATTTGTTGACACGCAGATCGCCTGCATTGCCTCCCTTGTGGACGTGTGTCCACGTGTCTGCCACTCGGTGCACGGAGACTGGCCATGTTGCTTATGTGGCGGTCCATGTGATCAAACTTTTAAAAATTTTATTTTTATCCTAATTTTTTAGATTTCTTCTTAAATAAGTTCTCTTTTATTTTTATTTTGATCCTAATTTTTAAAAATATCTTCAAATGCATCTAAAATCTAATTTTTATCAAAAATTTATAAATATTAAAATTAAAATTATTTTAATTTATTTTTTATTAATATTAAATAATCATGAACTAAATTGTTAGGACCGGATGTTATAAAGGGTGGTAAAATCACTCACCGCCAACCGGACAATCCATAGAGCTATTTGTAGCTGGAGCGAGCTTCACTTACCAATCACGAATTTGCCCATTCGAATCTTCTCAATTTCCATCTTGTCTCATTCTCGAGCTTTCCAATTCTTTCGCTTGAACTTATTGTTATGCTCATCAGAGCAAAGTTACCAAGCGTCCCTTTTGTTTAAATAAATCGACGAAGATAGGTAGGGTAATTTTGTAATTTGACTCAAGTTGTGAATTACTCTTCTCTTTCCTTGGAGATTACTCATTCATCTTCGTTCGTCCTAAGAGAGAGAGAGAGAGAGAGAGAGGGGAAAAAGGGAAGACTCTTGGGTTCTCGAATAGAATAAGACCCGATAATAGGGAAAACACCATATTTCCTCGCCGGTGTTAACACAGAGAGAGGCCCAGATTTGAGTGACGTTAGATCTGAAATTTCTCTCTCTCGTTATATCGCTAATGGGGCAGTCTGCCATGGGTTTTTCTCATTGCTTCTTATCTATTGTTCTCATCTTCGCTTTCACTAGTTTTCTAGCTTCCGCAGAGATACGATCCTCGGAGATCCGATCAGATGACCGACCCATCATCCCTTTTGACGAGTTCGGCTTCAACCACGCCGGCCGCCTGGAGCTCAACGTATCGCGGATCTCGCTCTCGAACTCCAACCCGGATCTGGACCTATCCAAGGTGGGCTTCTTTCTCTGCACCCGTGATGCGTGGGTGCATGTGATACAGCAACTGGAGGAGGGTGAGGTCTCATGCGCACTCCAATCCGATCTGGTCAAGCCCGTTTTCACTTTCAACAAACTCAAAGGTGATAAGAAGAGTTTTGAAACTGTATACAGCGAAAACGACGCCGACCAATACACCTTGGTCTTTGCCAATTGCCTCAATCAAGTCAAGGTATCCATGAACGTTAAATCCGCCATGTACAATCTCGAGGGCAAGAACCGTAGCCGCGATTACCTTTCCGCCGGCAAAACTATCCTTCCTAAGGTTTATTTCCTGCTCTCTTTAATCTACTTCTGTCTCGCGGGTCTGTGGATCAGCGTTCTGTATAAGAAACGACTCACCGTTTACAGGATCCATTTCTTCATGTTGGCCGTTGTTATATTGAAAGCCTTGAATCTCTTGTGCGAGGCTGAGGACAAATCGTACATCAAGAGAACCGGGAGCGCGCACGGGTGGGATGTGTTGTTCTACATGTTCAATTTCTTGAAGGGAATTACTCTTTTCACTCTGATCGTTTTGATCGGCACTGGGTGGTCGTTCTTGAAGCCGTACTTGCAGGATAAAGAAAAGAAGGTGTTGATGATCGTGATTCCCCTCCAGGTTGTTGCTAACATCGCCCAGGTTGTGATCGATGAGAATGGCCCATATGGTCATGATTGGATCACCTGGAAGCAAATTTTCCTTCTGGTAGATGTGGTTTGTTGTTGTGCGGTTCTGTTCCCGATCGTTTGGTCGATCAAGAACCTGCGTGAGGCAGCTAGGACTGACGGGAAGGCCGCAGTGAATTTGATGAAGTTGACTCTGTTTAGACAGTATTACATTGTGGTTATCTGCTACATTTACTTTACTCGTGTAGTGGTTTATGCGCTGGAGACTATTACTTCCTATAAATATCTTTGGACCAGCGTGGTAGCTGGAGAATTGGCTACGCTTGCTTTCTATGTGTTTACGGGTTATAAATTCAAGCCAGAGGCTCATAACCCGTACTTTGTAGTCGATGATGAGGAGGAGGAGGCTGCAGCGGAGGCGCTGAAGCTTGAAGATGAGTTTGAATTGTGATTCAAAACTATTATTTTTGGAGATTGGTTCATGTAGTGGATGGTGCAGTGATCAAAACAAGACGATGAAAGGTAGAAATCCCAGCATAACAATCGCTCCTCTCATGTTCATTTTCACTGTTATAGGCGAAATGTTATAGTTTGTACCCTGTTTTCCCTGTCATGTTTTTGATATACTGTGCATGTCCGTCCCTCTCTTTCCCCCTCTTTTCCTCTGGAGTTAAATAGGATAATTTCATAAAATTCCATGGATGCTTGTGAACAGATAGTATGTATAAGTATTAATACCTGATTTTTTGCATCACTTCTCTATGCAAATTGACTGTATTTCTTCATGTTATTATTGTCACCCAGAATACTAGGATTTGGATAAACATGTACTACTTTCAATGCAACAAGGTAGTGATAAGACAGATAGTACTTGACATGGTAAAAAAATGTACATGCATATGCGTTGATGCTAGTTGATAAGCATTGTAGTGAATATACTCACACAAGATGTTAGGATCCATAGATCCCAACGTGTCCCCACAAGAAATCCAAAATACCGGAATTGGAGAAAATGACCCAGTCAACCGCACGTGCACCAGCCATCCCTACAGAACCGGTCCACCATATCCACATTCAGCCAAAGAACCGTTCCACTCTGCGGCAGCTCTCCACAATGGAAGTGGACCATTATCCCTTAACTCTGTCTTTGGAAATCATGTTCATAGAAGTAGGAAGTAGTTAGTAGCTTGTAATTCCTCTTTGGCTATTTAAAGCCTCGACATGTGAATGAAAAGCAAGTAAGAAATCATTCCAAATTCTGGGTTCCAAATTCCAAATTCCAAATTCCAGCAGCAACAACCCAGTCCGAGTGGGGCCAACACAACCTTTCCGTAAGGAAAGACCGTGTCGAAATGAAGTTAACCGCCCGCCCTTCCACTCCCGACTTGCCAAACTAGAATTTCCGGTTTTTGCAAGGGGCGATCCGACCAAATGGATCAACTGGGTGGAGTAATTCTTTAATTACCAAGCCACCGCCGACGAACAGAAAGTGTAGTTGGCTTCTTTCCACTTGGAGGGCAAAGCCAACCAGTGGTGACAATGGTTTCGCCGAACTTATCAGGAACAAGGGAAGCTAGTGACGTGGACCAGGTTTGTAGAAGAACTTTAGGTCTGCTTTGGGTCAACAGAGGCGGAAGACTTTGATGAGACATTATCTAAAATTAAATAAGTTGGCCCATTGAGAGAGAACCAAAAGGAGTTTGAACGGCTTGCCAACCGGGTCCACGGTTGGACCCAGAAGGCTTTAATTGGAACCTTCATGGGTGGGCTTCAGCCCGAGATAACAGATGGGATAAGGATGTTCAAGGCCAGGACCCTGAAGGATGCAATAAGCCTGGCCCGCATGCGTGAGGAGCAGTTAAGCCGTCAAAGCAGGCTGGATTGGGTGGGGCGGACTCAACTCGACCCACAAGCACACTCTCTATCTGACTAGACCCCGCGAGATCTAGCAGCAACAATTGTTGCCCTCAAAGGATTATCCTAAGAAGGAGCACAGCGCCAGCGAACATAAGGTCTGTGCTTCCACTGTGACGAAAAGTTTACCTTCGGCCACATATGTCGTCGATCCCAACTATTACTTCTGGAAGTCGACAAAGAGGAAAAGGATGCCGAGCCTATGAAGCCTAGCTAAGTAGAGAGACAAGAGTACCTGAACCTTGAGGACAAGGTTGCTCACATAGGGGGGAGTGATGTTAGGATCCATAGATCTCAACATGTCCCCACAAGAAATCCAAAATACCGGAATTGAAGAAAATGACCAAGTCAACCGCATGTGTACCAACAATCCCTATAGAACCGGTCCACCATATCCACATTCGGCCAAAGAACCGTTCCACTCTGCACCAACTTTCCACAACGGAAGTGGGCCATTATCCCTTATCTTTTTCTTTGGAAATCATGATCGTAGAAGTAAGAAGTAGTTATTAGCTTGTAATTCTTCTTTGGCTATTTAAAGCTTCGACATGTGAATGAAAAGCAAGTAAGAAATCATTCCAAATTCTGGGTTCTTTTCTCCCTTAAGCAAAAAACATTTTTCTTTCCTTCAAGCTTTGATTGGGACCTAACACAAGACAGAGTGGTATTTGCCGACATCCACCTAGTCAGCTTTCGAATATTCCACTGGTAAATAATTCTGTTGGAGAACTCAAAGCTACAGGAATCTCCCTTGATTAGAAAAATGCCTTAGGCCAAAAAGAATTACAAGAATAACTCGAGTCTCATTTATCTCGAGCTTTATAGCGATAGTAATTTTTCTAAAATGATTAATGACTGAACAAAGATGGAGCCTTATAATTTGGCAGCTTGTCTTTTTCCTCTTGGAGAAATGATATGGCAAGAGAGTTGCAACAAGATTAACTCTTCAAAATTTTCTCTAATCTTGTATTACATTGAAGACTGGGAGCGTGAATTCGACAATTTTTTGAAATAAAAATAGTATATGATTCATTCACATACACCAAGGGATTGCAAACCTATATATAGAGATATTTACATATTCATCAAAATTTGTTTAAGGGTCCCAAAATTCTCAAGTAAATTGAAAAGATGACCCATAATAAAAAAAATAGGTTTTGGAACCATCTATCTTTTAGCTATCAAAATCATCTTCCATGCCTTGAAAACTTTTTTGTTTCTCTCTTTCTACACCACCCAAAAAGTAAGAAGGGGAATGAGACTAACATGCTTCTTCACTCCACTAATGCCCTTCCACGTCCAAATTTCTCATCTCACTGAACCAGTCATCATCCAATTGATAGCCAAGATTCTGTAAGCAAGGGTCCACAATCTATACACAAATGGACAACATGGAATAGTATGATTACATGACTTTGCCTCCCTTTTGGATAAGAAACACCATTCATCAAAATCCTCCCCCTCTTGATCAGCTTCTCAAGAGTTAGAAGATAACCTCTATTTGCTTCCCGAGCGAAAAAGCAACTCTAGGTGAAGCATTAACCTTTCAGATTTGTCAGAAAAGAAGGTACATATTGCTTCTCTTTAAGTCAAATGATTGTAGGACATAACAGAAAAAGTCCCTCTCGGTTGATCTCTACTCCCATCAACTCTAACTCTAGGAAGGGCTAGGAGAAGAGCCTCATATTCCTAACTTTTCAATCACCGAAATTTCTCGTGACATTCACATTCCACTTTCTTTCTCTCCCATTGCCACTATAAGACTTATAAATCAAGATACTCATGTGCCGAGCAATGGCATAGATTCGGGGGGAATTGTTCTCTAAGTGCCCCACCCTCTAACCAGGCATCACACCATAAGCTGATCGTATCCCTAGTGCTAACCCTCTAACTGGTACAATCCTTTAAATTACTCCTGCTGATGCATATTGTTTTCCACATCCTCTTCCATGGAATGTAGATGAGAGCCTAGTATACCACCCTCTACCCACGGTTCCTAATTTCAGCTCGATCACCCTCCACCAGAAACTGCTATTTTCATTCATAAATATCCAAAACCCTTTCCTCAGAAGAGCCATATATGTATTGTTTTAGTAGCGAATCATTGTGATCTGAATGTTCTTCCCGCCTCTGACCTATGACAAGCTATGGTATGTCTTGTTCTCTTATAACAATCAGAATTTTGGATTTTTCATAACTTACCTTTGTATCTCCATCTCTCATCTTTAGAACTAGAAATGGCTTGTGGCATCTCTTCTCTCCATATAACAAACAGAACTTTTCACTTCTTCCTAACACAATTCTTTTATCCATATTTGGAAGAAATGAACTATTTTGCTAGATTTGTTTTTTGGAAATTAATGTCTATCTCAACTTCAAGGATATGATATTCATAATAATATTTTACCCAAGAGAATTTCAAGTAAAATTGAAACAAATATTCATATTTGAAATTTCATCAATTTTCTAATTTATTTATTTCTAAATGAAAATTTTATGGGAGGCCAATTTTTTTTATCTTGCCTTGGAATTTTATCACCTGGAATGGAATTTTAATCCTAACATTTGCTCCGGACATAGCCTTGGAACAAGAAATCATCTTATTGTTTGAAAGAGCATTGCATTTTGAATGTGGTTTCTTCTAAGTGCCAATATATCCTCTTATATCAAATATTGTCTGGCAAGCTTTTGAGCTTAGGAATTTTCTTGACACGTGCATTATGGATTGTCATTCATGCTTCTCTGCTATTTGGTTTAACCGATCATAGTTGTGTGTGCATTTGATAAACAAAAACCTTATATGTAGAACTGACCATTTCATTTCTCTAATGTGCTCTGAATATGACTTAGCTAGATCAAATGAATGTTCAATGGCATGGGTGACTTTATTTTCACCAGTTTTATATTTCAGTTTTTATTTTCTAATTGAAAAAAAGTTTATAATACCTAAAAATAATTTAAGAAACTCAGTAAATGATTAGATTAGTTGGACACTGGATATCCAGTTCAAGAAAGTGGCTGATATGTTGTTTGTCATGCAACATTTGAGTTCAACATTAATGGCAGAAAGCATTATCTATTTAGACCATTGTGATTTACTAATAGATCTTCTAGATGAGATTTTTATATAGAGATTAACTGGCTTGACTCCAAAGATTTTGTATCATTTTGGAAGGTTTGCGTACTATGGTTAAGTCTGTTGGGAAGAAGAATGAATTGAAGATTATGGTTTCTGCATCACTCCATCTGCAGAAAACTCTGATCCAATTCCATGATCTCCCCATTTATATTTCAATCCTTCTCCTCCCCATCCCCTTGCAATAACAGAAAAACCTACTTATGTTCTGCGGATATCTCTAACTCTAACCCAACATATTGGACATAGTTGAATCTTTACTTCGTTCCAGAACACCTCCTTCCAAAATTGTCATTTTGTAGAATCATAATCATATAAATGTATAATGAAAGCGGATGACGCAGTGGAGGTTGTGTGCAATTTCTTTGGATTTGTAAACTAGCTAGATGCAAAGCAGATAAGAAAAGAGGTTGCAATGGAGATGGACAGAAACTGTGTACTACAGGGAAAGAGATGGGGAAGAAGATGGAACAGGAAGAGTGTTTGTTTTGATTGATTGTTGGGTTCAGTGGGAGGAGGACGGAAAGACGGATGAGAAGAAGCAGAAAAGGGGAAGAGCTTGATTTTAAAAAACAATATTACAATTTTATATTTAATTTAAATTAAATATTTTTTAATTTATTTCTTGATAAATGGATTTGACATTTATAACTATGTAGTCGCACTTGATTCGATTATGCACTAAATGCATAAATTATAACAAT